ACCCGCCTGGACACGTTCCTGTGTGGCTGCCCTGGGTGACCCTGCTCTGGCAGGGGGTGGCACTGGGGGATCTCTAGAGGTCCCTTCCAACTCCATACCTTCTATGATTTTATGATTTCAGGACTCATTTTTCCTGCCCAGCTGAAGAGCATGTGTCAAGATATGCTCTCCAGTGTGTAAAGATAGAAATTACTAAATTTTGGGGCTGCAGCTGGATCACTCTCAGCCCTTGGGCAAGCCTGACTGGGAGTTGGGTGCTCCAGTCGTGGGAGTGTTACTTTTAACACAGAAGATTTCAAACACCGAAACTGAGGCAGACAATTTCCATGGGAAATATAAAAGGATCTGTCTGTTATCTGAATCGGCTTCCATTTATTTCAACAGATTTTGGTGGACAGAGGGCATGAAAGGACTATGCAGCCTGCCTCCCATTGCATTTTAAATTAGAAGATTTCTCATGCCTTTTGTTTAGATAAATATTTGCATTCTCTTGGCTTTTTCCATAAGGAGTGTCGAGTAAGGAAAATTATTTCCAGATTCCCTCCTGGAAGTCAGCTGTGTCAGTGGCTCTGTGGCACTAGAAAACTTTAAAAAAGGGAGTCGGAAACTCAGCATGTGGAGCGACGCTGAGTACACAAGCTTGAGGGCAAAACTGAATAGGAAGTAGCATGTGTTAGTGGTGTTCATAGGGCTGGGAAAAGGGTGGACTCAATGATCCTGAAGATCTCTTCCAGCCAAAACTCTTCCATGGTTCTATTCTATGCTTTCTGCTTTGCTGCCTTGGGTTGGAACTGCTGAGTCTGCTCACCTGTGACCTCAATTGCACAAACATATATCCCTGTAAGTCATTTCTGAACTACCCGATGCCCAGCCATCTCCTTTTTTTCTCCACAGGAATGCGTTTCCTGCTGTGAAGGCATGATTTGCAATGTAGAAATACCAACCAATCACACAAACGCGGTGTTTGCCGTCTTGCACGCCCGGAGAACATCGGGTGGCAGCAGGAGGACGGTGAGCGTCGCAGTGCTCGTGTTGGTCATGATGATCGCGTTGTCGTGATGCAGCACCTTTCTGTTTATACCTCCTTGTGAGCATCCGCCTTTCTGGGGACCATAAGAACCTGTAAGAAGATTGTTTCAGCGCACAGGAAGAGAAGTCAGAAATACTCCTTAGTTACGGTGAAAAGACAAAGGTGTATCACAAAGTCCTTGGATATTTTAGTGACAATACTTCATGGGACCTGCAGTATTTTAAAAAGAACCAACACAACAACCCGCTGGTTGGCCAGGCAGTGGAGTGATCTCAAGTTATTATAATTTGCTGGTTTATGATGAAAATGCGCATACTCTTGGCATGTTTTTCAAACAGAGAAAAGTAGGCAATCGCTTTCCCAGGTGAGATCAAAAGGAACTTCCGATGGACAATGTGCCCACAGGTATCTCAATGGAAACTGTTATTAGACTGTTTTTCACCGTGCAGGAATAACACAGAGTTCCTTGTCTTGATCAACGGGTGTATTTAATCTTCTGCTATGGTTTTCATAGAGAACATATATGAGAGAGTTTTTTTCTGTTTTGATCAGAGCCATCATTTCTGCTGGAAATAACGCAGATAATACTTTTTATCTATTCTTTTCTGTAAAATGTTGTCCCACGCTCAGATCTTAAAAAAGTGTGAAATCATGTAGACCTTCTGTCTAAAAATGATGAGCTGTTTGAGCACCTAAATCAGAATTCTTTGTGCCCCCAAAGGGGTAATTTTCTTGCAATCGGGTCTCACCTCAGCTGAATCTTTGACTTTTTGATATGGTTCGAAGTGATGGTAGTACCCTGGCTTTGAAATTACAACTACAGTTGAGCAGCTACGCGGTCATAAAAATTGTAAGTAGGCACTTGGTATAAATAAGGAGAAGTGTACTGTGTTACTTCATTACTTCTTGGTTGGTAGAAGTTTCTCCCAGAAATATTGACCTTGATGGATCTTCAACTTGTAACTCAGCCCCACTGGCAATCCCAGACATCTGGACATCATTGTTATGTAGCTTTGTCACCCCCATTTGAAAGGTTTGGGCCAAGGTTCTCTTTTTCCTTACAATATTGAGGGAATTTAACGTGGTTTATTTGCATAGTTTGGCTGTTTGACTCCTTCTCACTGGGATGACTCCTCATCGATGAGGTGAACGGCTGCAAATTTGTCCAGTTGTGTTTCATCCAACTCCCCACCCTAAGTTCATAAACCTTCTCTGGCAGCCCAAGGCACTGCAGCAGAGCTGAGGGTTTCACCTACCAAGAACTTTGTGTCACATTTTTTTTCTTTTCCCAAACTATTTTATTCATTTTTGAATATACTGATTTGATTATGAGTAAGACAGATTGTTCAGATCTTTTGTTAGTGGCTTTTCCTCATCTTAAACGAGATGGTTAAAACTCTGATTAACCCTTGACATATTTTTCAGGAAGGACAGATCGTTAAACTTCCCTTTAAAAGGAGATTCAAAGCTTGTCCTCTCAAAAATCTGAGCAACTATAAATTGGGATTTTTTTAACCTAACTCTTGGCTTAATTATTTGCTATTTGACATGACTGCTCAACGAGGAATTCCTTAGTGAAGTGCAAGTTGTCTTCCATGTTTCGACTCCTGGTATTTCCCCTTGTTTTGCCTCCAAGGACTAGATGCTCCCATAATTCAGTCTCTGGGAATAATTAGTGCAATCTTAACAAGACCTGGAAGTGCCCTGTAATTCTTCTAGGAGTTAACTGTAAATAATTTACAATAATCTAAAGGCTGACATGTGTTTACACTGCAAAATGCTATTCCAGAGTCTTTGGGAGTGTGAGAATAGTATGCTTGATTGTAATTGGAAGCTTTTTATATTTAAAATTAACAATAAAGAGAGCAACCCGGGTGTACGAAAGGATTTGGTGTTGCCAAAGGTTTGTTTTTTAAAGGAGTAGAATTCGAAGAGTGGAGGATATTAAGGATGAGTTCTAGTTGTCTCGATACATCAGTACCTTTGTTATTGCAAAGTTATGGACTATTGCGTCTAGAAAAAAAGAACATGCAAAAGCTGTTAATGCAATGTCAGCGCTACGCAAATAGGCTGACGAAATACAGAATTTTAAGAGTGAATATCAACTTTACCCTTTGCTGCTTTTAATGTATATAAGAACCTGTATGCTTTCACTTGCTTTTTATTTTAGCCTGATGTTAAACGCTGTGTAGAAAAAGCAGTATGTGCTGACCCTTAGAGAAAATAGTGCTAGAATTCATCCGTGTGTATATTTTTGTCGTGACTAATGATTGACTGCGTAGGCAATCTGAACATTAATTTATGGTATAGTTTATATTTTATTAAATAGATTCAAGTATCAGCTCTATTTTCACTTCCAATATTTTCCTCCCTGAGGAAGAGTATTGTATTTTGGAAAAGAAATAATTTTCATAATTTTCGTGTGTATTTCATGCATCTGCGTTTTGCTTCACAGATATCCTCACTTAAATACGTGCGACCTGTTAATTCCTAAATTAGCCACGCAACTTTGGAAATGCTGCTTCTGTAAGTGTGTGTCCATACCACTGTGTGCAGAAATGTGTTTTGATAATACCTCTGTGTGCATCCAGCTTCCAGCAAAAACACATTAAATATTGAAAAGAATTCATGAGCAAGAGCAAGTAAATCAGTTTTTGCGGGTGAGGAACAATGAGCATCAGATTATATCTGTGTGTAATGATGATTTTTTTTTTTTAACATTGCACTGAACGGTCTATAGAAGATTTATTTTTTCAAAGCTTAAATACAGAAAAAGAAATAATCCAGTGTTGGTTTGTATGATGTTTCCTTACTGCTGTTACTGTTTTAAATCTTCTCCAGAAATGGCACTTTTAATTAAAAATATTAAAATATTTGCTGGCGAAAAACTTCTGTGGTGAAAAAGGTAAAACTCCTTTTTACTGCTCAAGATGACAGGACCCGTTGTTGGTGCTGGGGAACTCGCCGAGCTGAAATTGCACCGAGGGGAGGTTCTATGTCTCTTTCTCTTCTGATGGGTGCTGGAAATTTGGGGAGGGTGGTGGAGTCTCCATCCTTGGAGTTGTTCAAAAAACATGTAGACGTGGCACTTCAGGATATAGCTCAGCGGTCACCATGGTGGTAGCTTGACTGTTGGGCTAGATGATCTTCGAGCTCTTTTCCAACCTTAATGATTCTGTGATCTCTACTTGAGCCAGTGAAGAGAAATGCACCTTCCTTTCACGTACATGCCAGCCCGGTGGGCTGCAAATTGTCAGCTGTGGATTTAATTCCTGTTTGGAGATGAGAGTCACCCTTTCTGGGCTTCACACCGCAAGGCGTGGCGATGTGAGCGTAGTTTCGCGGTGCACGTGTGGCTCCACTGAAGATCAGAGGTACCTTTTGTGGATGATCTATGTGTGTCTCTGTGCATCCTAGGGAGTCTGCTTGTTAAACTCGTGCTACAACTACAGAAACGCTGGCAGAATCTTCGTTTAAATGAAATTCGGTCATGGCTTCAGCGCGGTTTATAATTTCATCTGCTTTGAATTTTACCAGTGGTGGCTGCAGGAGTCTTTGCCAATCCTCCCTTCTCAGAGGGCAGTTGATCCTGACAGAGATCTATTGTTCCCAGTGGCGTTTAAAAGATACAGAGGAAACTCAGTTTAATTTGCATTTCTGAAAATGTGATTGCTGTCCTTGTGACTGAAGGAACTTGAAGTTCAAGGCCAGGTTGGAAGCGACTTGGAGCGACCTGGACTGGTGGGAGGTGTCCCTGCTCTGGCAGGTCTCTTCCAACCCAAATCATTCCATGATTAGATTCTATGTTTTATCTCGTTTTGTTTTGTTGGGTTTTTTTTGGTCTTGGTCTGTTGATTTTGAACTTATTTTATGGTAACAGCAGATGTGAAAGGCAGCACGTGCCTCAGCGTGGCTAAGCCGTTTTAAGGAGATAGAATAACAAAATGTAAACAGTCCGGGCAGCTGAAAGATGTGAAAAAGACAGAGTCGCTGTTGAAGGGAATAGACTCTACAAGAATTTGGGGTCTGTAGGTGTTTTTGTTCGGGTTTGAGCTGTGCCTGAGGGTCATCACACAGATCAGCTGAGGTTACGACATGGGCTGGGTAATTTCGTTTACTGGGAGCTCTTGAGTGAGGACTTGAAAGACGATCCTCGCCATCTTCTTTTGAAGATTATAGTGGCATTCCAACTAAAGAGTAAAAGTCATGTAAAGAAGCCAAACAAAGAGAAATTAAAAATGCTGATAGTCTGTTTGTATTTTATATTTTTTTTTAATCATTGTTTTCTGTCCTGCTTATCCCATAAGCACACACGTATCATTGTTATGGGCTGACCTGGCATTTTTAACCAGTGCTGTGTATGTCGTATTTTAACTAAATGAGGACACAGCTGTTTTACCAGAGAACACGAAGCATGTCCTGTGTTCTGCTGGACCTCGGCGGCACAAACCAGTCCGACGTACTCCTTGTCAGCACTCTTCTCCATTTGAAAATTAACGCTGATGCGGACAGGCTGTCAGGCTGGAGCGGCTCTACCCAGATAATCTTGTAATCTTGTTTGCTGTAGTCCTTTTACTAGATACAGGTGAGTTACGCAGGAAGAACACAATGTGTCCCCACCTGATGGGAATCCACAGTGACTATCGGTGAACTCCTGTGTAGGCAAGTTTGTAGCCTCCTGGAAGTGATTCAAGAGAAAGCATTCTCCACTGAAACACTTCGTAAAAGTATTTGTTTTCTTTTTCTTCTTCTTTTTAAGGCATTAGGATAGTAAGATCAAGAGAATGCGGTTACTCTCTCCTCTTGCTTTTTGCCATCTGCCAGCAAATGAGCGATGGAGAAGCCCAACCTGAAGGCCACGGGGATGCTGTCTGGACACACGGTACGTGCTGTGGATCAGTGACTTCTCGAAGCATTGTTGCCTTTTTACAACTTCTTTACCGCTTACGTTGAAATGAATGTTCAGTGTAAGGCGCTGCGTGTGTGTCGAATGGTGAGGTGAACTCAGCCCAAGGATCCAAGGATGTGC